TACAGCCAAAAGGCTCCCACATACCTGCTGGCCACACCCCTGTGATGACCTGCAGCTAACTATACTGTCAGTACAACAAGATTACCATGGCTAACATTTTAATTCCCATCATCTATCTACTGCTGTGACACTTGGAAGGCTTCCTAAAAAGGCAGTCAACCAAACTCCTGGAGGTCCTCCTACCCCACCCTTTCCTGGCAAAGGGCCCCAGCCCTGAGCTCCACCCACTAAGCCTGCAGATCACCCTGAATCTCAAGGGGGCACAGCTCACTCTAGAGCTTGCCCACACTCTCTCTAGAGTGTATATTTTCTACTTGCTAATACATCTTGTTTCTTAGCTAACCTTCACCTAGATCTCATCCTCAAGTTCCCCTCATGTGTCAGAAAGAATGATCCAGATTTCCCTACCCTGAAATGGTACCAGGAGTCAATTTAGCCCAGGGTGAGGGACAAGGGCTCAAATTCGTGTACTGCCATCAGTCAACCTGCCAGCTGACAATGCCAGAGGGTCAGTTTGGCTAGCAGCACACCGGTGTCCTAAGGAAAAGGAGAAGCGGTAAGACTGGCCCTGCTTACCAGAGCAGTAGGTGATGGGGGTAAACAAAGAAGAAGTACGTACACCACTGGCCACAGTATAGCCATCTCATAGAAGAGCATCAGGCTGGATGCCACATGTACAAAATGTTCACTTCTTAATTGAAAACCCAGAAACAGAAACAAGGGATGAGGCTCTCATGGATGTCAAGGATGTCTGGACCTTGTTTATCTGTTTAAAACTTTCAATCCTTGAATGAATGAATACAAAACAACCTACAGGCACAGGAACACACTTTGAGGACTGTATCCTCAGCCAGCACCTCCTGCCTTCCAGAACCCTAGCTAACACAGAGTGGCATGAACAGCTCTGTTTAGCATCCGTTTCATGACAGCAGCTTCTGGCACCTGCATCCCTGTGGCAGATTTCCCAGAGCACTCCTCTGGGGGCTCCTGGAGACAGTCAGACATGCCTTGCATTGGGGCTCAGAGCCAAGCCGCTCCACGGCTGGGTGATCCCTAACTGCGCAGCTTTCTCACTCAGCACTAACCCATCTTGCAAGTATTCCCGCTCTGAGAACTATGTGCCAGAATGAAAAGGCAAGGCACCTGGGGAATAGGGTTGGAGAAGGAGTCACATTCCTTCACATAGGACTATAGGTGGAAATGCATTTCTACAGTGGAAGCCAGTAAGGAAGAGGACCTAACTAAAGTTAAGTTTATGATTCCAGGGCCCAGGGGAGCAGTCTGGCTTCACTCAGTCCCTACATTCACAGCCACGAGCCAACTGAAGGTAGCAAACTCCCCACCTGCAGCCAGGCAGTACATCAAAAAGACCTTGGAAAAAGTTAATAGAAGCTTACTTGGGTGATCCAGAGTTTGAAATTCATGTTATCAAAACAAAAACAAAAACAAACTATGCCTGAATTTCAACACTGGGGGGCACCCAAATAAATGTATTATTCCATCTTCCCACAAACTTATTAAAGGTCTCTCTTACTTGATGTGTATGACAATTATCCACTCACTCCCAGCAAGGATTTTCTTAAACACAACTAGCTGTCCATTTCTTTCACATGACACAGTGGTGGACCCTGAACCCACATTCCTGCACATAACCTAGTAGAGAGGCCAGACCCTTCACGCAGCCACACATTCCCCAGTTGCCACAAACCTGCCAGCTTGCCCTATTTTTTGGCCTCAAGGCTGGCTTCTATGGACACCAGTTAGAATCCTGGCTGCTCTACTACTGATCCAGCTCTCTGCTTACACCCTGGGAAAGCAATGGAGGACTGCTCAAGTCCTTAGGTCCCTGCACCCATGTGGGAGATCTGGAAGAAGCTCCTGGCTCCTAACTTCAGATTAGTTCAGCTCTGGCCACTACAGCCATTTGGGGGAGTTAACCAGCAGATTTAAGAAGCTTATCTCTCCTTCTCTCTATAAATTTGCCTTTTCCAAGAAAAAAAAAATCTTTAAAAGAAACATTTCACAGAAAATGGATCTGAGAAAACAACTATGCATGATTTCCCTCCACCTTTTTTTTTTGGTATTAAAATAAACATTGTTTAACCATAAACTTTCACATACTTTGAAGGGGAATTTCAGTCTGTGAACATCTGAAGAGAACTTGTGGCATGGGTAAAGTACCATTCCCAGCTAATAGTGATTCAATCAATGAGAAAAACAAGTAAGGCCTCAAAGCACAGTCATCCATTCCATCTTCAGTTAGCCTGGCCAGAGATTAATTTTTAATGCCCAGATAAATGACCAAGTCCACTGGTGCAACACTGAATCTTCCTATCAATAAGTGTTTCTGAGAGTTGCGCCCTAAAAAGTACAAAGATGCCACCCAAGTGATATCCGACACACACAAGAAAATCGACACTGAATGTCTTCATGTTACTTAAGATACGAATCTGATATGTGGAAGACAGACTGGTAAGCTTCGATGGAACAACAGGATGGCAGAGCTGAAGACCGCAGGAGAGCAGGGAGAGAGGGAAGTGATGACAAGGAGATGAAGAGCACAGGAGTGTAATAAACAGGAACGCTGGTTGGCTGAAGGCGCTCCCTCCCCTGAAGACCCCACACAAGACCCCACACTACCAGCAATTTGTTGCTGTCTTAGCTCTCATGCCTCTTCCTTGTCACTCATCAACTATAGTCACAGACAATACTGAAGATCCCGATGGATTATTAAAAACGTTGTATGGTAATTGGTGCAACACATGGCAGCAACCTTGTTTCTTGTCTCACATGAAAGAAGAATTTTCATGCGGACAATTCTGGTTTGCAAAGCGGGATTTATTTAGTAAAAAAAAAAAAAATGTGAAAAGGGTCCCTGCCATGGTGGCAGGAGGGGGCTCAAGTGACTAGAGGAAAAACCCCAGACCCCCAGCCATAAGCGGTAAGAGGAAGGAAAGGAAAGCCTGAAGTCATGGTGGAGGTGGTGTCTTTTATGCCCCATGTAGGAAGAGATGCTCAAAGGACAAAGGAAAGAATTTGTCTTCAATAGTACCTGGTTCTGAATCTCAAAAGGGTGGGACTGGTTAACTTCCTCCTCCCATTCTAATGATAAGCTGGTCACTCAGCCACCATCTCTTTTGACAGTGATCCAGATATGAGATTAGGTGGGTCATTTCTCCTTGCATTTGTTACAACTCTGAGATGGTCAATTGATATGTAAAAACGTACTCTTAGAAAGTTAAAAAAAAATGGGAGAGAAATACAATCTTATAATTTTAACAAATAATTTCACCAGAAACCATAAACCCTAACTGCCTGCTATTCTATCTGACTCTTCACACAAAAGGCTGGCTCTACTCACAGGTTAAAAGACAGGGGTGAGGCGACTGAAAATAGCCCCTTTAAGGCTTCTACAAACTGCAAGAATACTTCACCTCATTTTCATCCTCCCTATAAATTTATGCACACAAATGCAATACATCATTCCAAAAGGATTAACATAAATGCTTCCAAAAGTAAAATTAAACATCTAATCATTTTGATTTTAGACAAGACGGTACATAGAGCTATGTTCAAATTCCTCAGGTCCCAAGAGAAAAACCCATAACATGCATCTCTGTCACTGCAACTGGGATACAGAGAACTACAACAGCACCATCTTGCTCTCCTGGTGAACAAACTGGCTGCCAGGATGGTGTAGCCAGGTAGGAGTTCAGGGTCATGAGCTTGGAAGCCACTCCCCCACCACCTAGATGCTCCCTCCCACCCACCTGTGATGCTCACCTATCATCACCTGGAACCTCAGAGGGGGTGGTATAGCAGTCCCCTCTCAAGCCCCCTATAAAGGCCCATGATAGAGAGGGTCTCTGCTCTCTCTCCTAGTTGTGTGTCTGTTGCTCTGGCACTCTTAACTCTTGGCCTTTTCAGTGCCTGCCTGCTCTGTGGCTTCCCAAGGACAGGTATCCCCTGAGCAGGGTCCCTGTGTGTGTGTATTCCTCACTCTCTATTCACTGCTTGGACAGGACAACGAAGATAGCCATGCTAAGATGCTTGTATTTCTAATGTATGTACTATCAATAATCCCAGGAGAAGTTTGGACTAGCAGTGATGGAATGTAGGCAGAGAAGCCAGGGAAAGGTGAATGTCTGCAGCTTTGTAAGTGTGTCCAGGTTATTCATTGCATGTCTCTTAGGATAACTTATATTGTTGGGGAAGCTGGGACATAGGTCTTCAGCTTAACGGATGGACTTGAAGGTAATGACCATTTGTTCTTCTTGGGGTTTTGTTCAACTGGACTGCTATATGAATTTGTGACTTGCTATTTATAGTGGGCCCTGTTATCACCAAGCTTGGTTAATGAAGACTCCTTGATAAACCTTAGACATGTCTAGCATGATCTCGCTCACACTCTGCAACAATGGGAGGCTCTCAAAATATTTCTTTCCTTAGCATTCCTATTGGGAGGAGAGAAAATAATCAGCGTGCAGGTAATGACTCTCACCCGGAGGACAAAGCCAAAGACACATTTGCCTATGAAATTGTGTCCTCCAGTTCCTATAACCAAATATCAATTGTGCCAGAAAAACTAATGTAAATCGATTTAAGTAATGAAATTGAGGTGCAAAGGACAAAATAAGTAATTTTTATGATGGCAATCATTGGTTGCAGAATAACAATTACATACAACACACATCGGTTCACTCTACCATGCAAAAATTATCTCATTTCTCAACACAAAACAAACATCTTGTGTTGCAACCAGTCAGACTTAAGGTTGATACAGTATCAGCTCAACCACTTGGAGTCACTTCATCTTACTCAGTGCTTTCTTTTGTGAAGTCATTTGCATTCCTATCATGAGTTCTGAATCCCCCAAAATGTGTCTCTCAACCTGCCCACACTCCAGGCCCTAGTAAACCAGTATAAGGAGGCAGCACAGGAGGCCAGAACTGCTGCTTATATTACTAGCACAGATTTTTAAGGAGAAAGAAGTACCTTACCACTTCTGGGAGTAGCTTCGTAGAAAGGTCATGGATGGCTTTGACCACTATACATATGGATGACAGAAGGAATATCACGCCCAAGATGACACAGGCTCTGCAATAAATAAATACATACATAAATACATAAACAAAAACAAAGACACATTGCGATTCTTTACTGGATGACTGACTCCATGGGACTGAAGACTCGGCATAATGACCATGACAAAGACATAATCTGAAAGTCCAATACATCTGTCATTTGGTATGTCCCCTGGTGACCACCTACAGCCTCAGGACTCACCAACTCACCTCTAGGAGAACACAGCTTGGGGTTTTATTGTCAATGTAAGCCTCTATAGGAAAAGACCTCACCATCCTACACAATCCCACAGCATCCCAAAAGTGCTGAACTCAAAGGGTTTCCAGTGCCAGGAAATCTACCCACTGCTTGGCAAGCTGCAGGTTTTGTTGTTTCCTAAGCTGGAAGGTGCAGAACTTAATGGCAAAGATCTGAGACACCCTGTGTCATCTCAGTCAAGTAAGAGAACTGAATTTCACCTTTTATTTCTTTTCAAATGGGAGAGGCAGTTCCTACTTCAGATGAAAACATAAAAGTCGGGCACGGCACGGTGGCACAAGTGGTTAAGGTCCTCGCCCTGCACGCCCGGGATCCCATATGGGCGCCGGCTCTATCCTGGCTACCCCGCTTCCCTTCCAGCTCCCTGCTTGTGGCCCGGGAAAGCAGTTGAGGACAGCCCAAAGCTTTGGGACCCTGCACCCGCGTGGGAGACCCAGAAGAGGCTCCTGACTTCGGATTGGCATCGCATCAGCCGTTGGGCTCACTTGGGGAGTGAATCATCGGACGGAAGATCTTCTTCTCTGTCTCTCCTCTCTGTATATCCGCCTTTCCAATAAATAATAATAATAATGATAATAATAAATCTTTTTTTTTTTAAAAAGAAAGTATAAAAGTCTAAAAACATCACCCATCCATGCCAGCTGCAACAAACAAAAAGTCTGCTGGGATGCTCTGTATTTTTTTGTTTCTAACTTTTTTTAACGTTTATTTTTTATTTACTCAAAAGTTAGAGCAGCAGAGTAAAACATTCCTGTTGCATGCTGAACAATTCAATCCCCCAAATCAGTCACAAGCTGACTCTTAGAAGCTTAGGAGTCTTAATTCACTGTCAGCAGACCGTCCTGTACCACCACAAGTACAAGAGGGGAACAGTCCTGACACGTCTCAGTTATGGACTTTTAAACTCACACAGGCATGAGAAACTAGCCAATCAACTAAACTACCATTGATGCAATGTGACGATGGGGAGAACTGGCAGGAATTATTATCTTCTCAATGCTGGGCACTCTTTCTTCCCAGGGTTGTCAAAGACCTATGTTTTAGTGTGAGCTGTCAGGGGAAACTTCATAGCTGAATGCTTATCTGAGGATAAGGGGAAGGTCTACTACCTCTAACCCAACTGCCAGGTACCATTAGGAGAAACAATAACACTGTGAATTATATGAAGCTATCCAATGGGCAAAGGTTTACACAGGCTAAGAACCATATCCTGCTTAGCAATGAGCAGCTGAAGCAAGCAAGCAAGGAAGCAAGCAAACAGAAGCCAGTTTTATAGTTAGCCAAGTTTTAAAGTAGACAGTGAATGTCTTTATATGATTCTGGTCCACACATGTTCCCAACAGAACACTTGTTTTTTGGCTGGCCCTAAAACTCATGTAGACTTAGAGGGCCTGACAAAATTGATGCCATTTTGAATCTTCAGGCTGCCACAATTCCCTCTACACTTCCGTAATAGCTGCAGCAGCCAAGACTGGACCAGGACAAAGCCAGGAACTAGAAACTCCCTCCAGGTCTCCCACATAGGTAGCAAGAACCTAAGCATTTGACCCGTCACCTACTGCCTCTCAGGACGAACATTTTAGAAAATTTTAATTTTCTTTTTAATATTTTCAGGATGAGCATTAAACAGGAAGTTGGATCAGAAGCCTAGGAGTCAGGAGCTGAGTCATCATTCCAATAGGGAATAGGGAATCCCAAGCAGTGGCTTAACCTCCCCTGTGGTCCAGTATCTCCCCCTTCCCCAAATGCTGGATTTCATCAAGGTTAAAGAGGAGGAATGCTTTGGTAGTGAAAAAAGAGTATTCATGTTACCACAGAAAGATTCTAAAATGGATGGAGGCAGGGGAGCAAAGATAAAGTTGAGAGATGGCCAGTAGAGCAGGAAGCAACAGTAAGTGGAGGAGAGGCGAGGTAAACAATAGAGTTCACAGCTGGGTTGTGGGGAGAGCACCAGGAAGGACAGCTACAGGGTTCTTGGGTAGCACAGATAGTAATGAGTCTCTGGAGGAAAATAATAAAAGGCAACGTGAGGGATCTGTCACATGAAGGAAAACCACCAAATGAACATAAAGAGAAGAAAGAGTAAAAATGTCCAGGATCAGCTCAACATCAATCCTGTCTCAGCCGGATGCCTCTGTCATATGGCAACCTACTCAGCACCTCCCCCAGATACCAAACAGAATCATTTCCCAAATCCTCATCTTGAGTCCAACAACATACAAAGTTTTGAGTCCAAACTGATCATCTCACTTGGAGATGGCACTCACTTGTCACCCTGGCAAGCTTGAAGGTAGTCCCAAGTCCCTAGATGAAGTCATCAGAAAAAAAAAAATCAACAGAGCTTCTTGATTCCACTTGCCAGGCATCTAATCCACATTGGAACTATAGAGTTTATTTTCCTTAAAAATAAAGATTCACAGGTCTGGGATCACCTCATATGATACATCTTTGGGAATTTCCCCAACTGAACCGCCAAACTCAGAACTGCAACCATGAGAGAATTACAGGTTCCATGGTCTGAGCGTGGAGTGCATGTGTCAGAGCTGGGCATCCTCAGTGACTTAGGCACAACAGTGGACAGCATATCCTGATGCACATGGAGGCTATGGCAGTACATTGGAGCCTGCAGAGGGCACCTGGTACCATAATACAGGACAGAGGAGAGAACAAATTGATGAACAACCCCAGCCAAGAGTTGACAGTGAATACCTGGGCAAATGGACACTCTAAGGTCAACTATGTCAGCCAGTGAATTCTGCATAGATTTCAACATGATAGGAGTTGCGAGATTAGCAGCAATACAGAACTGTTGAATTATCAAAACCATTTGAGCAGGATCCGGGCAGCATACCTTACATCAGGGATCTTAGGATGGTTGGAAGGCTGGGTGTGGCTTCTTCCCTCATCTCTCCCCTCCCCTCAGATACAATAAGGAAAAAAGAGAATGTGAAAACAATGGTCTCACCCACTTGCCTCTAGCCCTTGACCCTTTGCACCCTAATCAAATATGTAAAAATTATCAAAAATAAAATAAAAAATAAAGATACAACACAAAGGAATCATTTCAGGTTGTGGCAACACACACACACACACACACAAAGAACACAGAGGCAGAAAGAAGTGGTGACTGGGCAAGGGTTCTTGGGAAGAGCTTGAGTAAATGGATGAGCCACCAGGGCACCATACATCCTCTTCACAAGCCCTGGGGGAGAAACATGCCCTCAAGGGAGGAAAACAATAATTCAGGCAGCTAACACAGGCTGGTGCAGCTACCGGAGTACAATGCATCTGGGGCTGGCACCCAAGATACTCAGGGGACCAATTGGAATAAAGATGCTGTGGAGACAGGAGGGTCATAGAGTACAGAGGTGCACCTGTTGGATAGTCCTCATGTGCCAAGACAATAGGGCAAGAGCAAGATGCCCACAATGCAGGGCTCAATGTTCCCATACAATAGGCTTCCCACTACTGCTGTGCTCACTTACACAGACCACTACAGACAGCAGTAGATGTCACTCTGTACCTGCAAACCAATGGACTACAACAGCTTTCGGAGCAGAGAAACTATTACAGTCCAGTTGGAACTTCAAAGCAAGTTCTGCAAGGTGATGTTTTATTTTTCCCTCCCACTCACAAAATTTCTGAGAAGTCAGCAGGGAGTCTTTGATTCACTGTTTCAGGTCAATTCTACCACCAGCGCAGTAGTGCCCAGTCCTGAGGACACCTGCTCCTCATCTAGCAGATTTGCACCCTTTAAAAAAATTGTTGCCTGAAGGTGACTTCATCCCCATTTCTAGCAGAATCTCTGGGGTGGATCCAGACTGGTACATTCCTTTAGAAGCTCCCGATAATTCTAAGAATACCAGCCTATAGCTAGGTGAGGCCCAGTCTGCCCCTATGGAAGCTTCCACTGTGGAGGTAACACATACAGCAGTTCCCAGGGTGGCAAGCAGGAGTGGAACAGGGCAAGGGACCGTTAGTGGCCTTGCAGAGTACTTGTTCATCAATCTACTTCCTTCTCCTAAGGAATGAGAAATGAGACAAGCCATCACTAGGCTGTTTGCCAGACCATCTCCAGGCTAGTTGTCACCACAGCCTCAAGGTGGGTGTCCATGTCCATGCAGTCCAGGGGGTGGGAGAGCGAGTGTTAGGAGACAGATGGGTTAATACGTAGTTAGGGCCTCTAGCCATGTAGTTAATTTTTGAAAATATAACCTCACCCTATTTTGGCCTTCTTTGAAAAGATGAGTTCCTCCAGGTTGCTGCTATCATTTCACATCGAATTCCCCACAACACAACCATCTGTGTTCCCCTGATGGAAAATAGCAATGCCCTCACCATGTCACTGCAGACACACACAGCTGTAATGCATGAAAGGTGAGTTTGGATTCTTTTTACATCATTCAAGAGACAACTATAGTGGATTCAATGTCTTCTATGTCTTTCATCAAAATGACATACCTTCAGGTCAAGATTCCTATTTCTTAAGGCGAGCATGCAGCAGGTGTTCCACAAGTACCCGCAGAGTGGATGTCATCATCACCTAACTCATCACTGATTTGTACACTTTCCCAATGGAGGCCAAGGGAGCCCTGATCCCTTAACAATGGGTACAGGAGGAGGAAAGAGACATCTAACACTCTTGCCAGATGTTGCTGGGATAGTCCTCATGGTAAAGCAATGCTATAATCTGTTGCGGGGAACAGGAGAGAGAATATGAAACAAGTCTAGAATATGTTAACGAGTCTTTATTA